AATGCTTGACTGGGTAATTCACAGTGGCTTTTTCCTGTTTGGTTTAGAGAAGTGGTTATACTACTGCCCTTTACTCTGTTCTCTTATTTACCGTTAGGCTTGGGTATCAGTTAACCAGTTAGATGTGGCTTCTGAGTAACTACTTTTGTTGGTTTCTGATGCTTAGAAAACTATACCATTTCGTTATTACTTCCCTATTAGATAATGTAATGCTTTTCCAAGTCGCTGGTAAATCAAAATTGGAATTGGCCCAATTAACCGAATTAGAAGCCTTTGCGCAATTTGCTTCTGATCTCGATAAAGCTACTCAGAATCGATTGGCAAGAGGTCAACGATTACGTGAGTTGCGAGAATGAGTTATATTTCTAGCTTATTTAACTTTTCAGGAAAGAATTTGTTCGTTTTGGGTATATATACTACTGCCCTTTACTCTGTTCTCTTGTTTACTGTTAGGCTTGGTTATCAGTTACTTAAACCAGTTAGATGTGGCTTCTGAGTAACTACTTTTGTTGGTTTCTGATGCTTAGAAAACTATACCATTTCGTTATTACTTCTCTATTATATAATGTAATGCTTTTCTGTGGCAAGAATGAGTTATATTTCTAGCTTATTTAACTTTTCGGAAAGAGTTTGTTGGTTTTGGTAGGAAAAAAATAGCATACAAAATTTATCGACAATACTCCCCTCTTAAAAACGAATCTCTACTGTTTCACGTAGCAAAGAAAAAGAAAACCACAATATTTCAAAGGAGTCTCCATTTCAAAACGATGGCAACCATAACAAGCAGGATCAACTTTCCAGAATTGTCTGTTGTCATTTAGGAACATAGATTATTTAAATTTATGTTGTTAAACTTGTTTAAATTTTAGAACTAGGCTGCCTTTCATGGTTTGTCAAAAAAAATGGTGATTTTGGATATTTTTAGTATTTCAATGCTTAGAGAGAGTATACTTTTAATTTGTTCAGTTTTGACTTATTTAAGTGTGTAGATTAGTTTAAATTTTCATGTCAAATTTATCTCACGGGTAGAATTATGTTGTCTTACTTGATTTGTTATTAACTGGATGAATTTATCGGCTTTTTTGGAACTTTTAATGACTATCAAGGGTAAATTCTCAAGCATTTGTAGTTGTTTCTTATTTATGCACATTGATAGCTTAGGTTTATGATATTAATTTTGCTTAAATATTATAACAATTCTCACTCGTTTCGCTTGTCGAAAATTTTGTGATTTGAGTCCTTTTAAGCATTCTTTACGCCTTAAAAATTTTAAAGCCAAGTTCTTTGCTCTCTCTCTCTTTTAAGTATGTAGACAACTTAAACTTGATATATTAAACTTACTCAAATGTTAAATAAGGTTATGAGTTTTTTTTTTTTTTTTCACTATCATTCTTAAAATTTTTAGTTATTAGAATCGATTATTGGTTGAATTACAAGAGAATTTTTATTGGTTGAGTTTGGTAAAGTGAGATTTTGTATATATTACATATTTTTAAAGCATTAATATTTCTACTCCCTATTGACACCCAATTTTATCAGAGATGAATGATTTTCGATTGATTTTTCAGCCTAGTTGCACATTTTAATTTAAACTTATTTTAACATTTTAATCAAAATTTCATATTGGGCTTTGATGGGCTTTATCTTAGGATTATTTTTCCTTAGGGATTTGTTTTATTTGGGCTTGAAACCAATTTTGAATTATGGTTAAAGGATTTTCTGCCTCTTTTTTCATAGTAAAAAGGCATGAGCAAATAAACACAAAAAGAAAGTTTTAGCAAACATATTTATGAAACATTTCTCGCCCTTTTTGTTTAACTTTTTTATACTAAATATCAAAACTCCTATACCAATAGCTATAAACATACAAAAAAAAATATTTATAAACTCTCCTATTTCTTATTATTGTAAAAGAAAGAAAGGTCAATTCAATGCATATGATAAAATGCTTGATACCAATAACATCACGAGTATTTTGAACTAATTTTTTGTGTAACGTTATAGTGTGGTAGCAGCATGAGTTTTATGCAAGTGTTTTATTGCGATAGAAGCACGAGTTTTACCCATGTGTCATCGAAATCACATCACGGTTATATCCATAACTATGTGGTCTTCATATTATTTTCCTTTTCATTTTAATTTTCCTTTTATCGAAATTACCCTTTTTTACCCAACCCAGTTTCCTCGTCATTTAACACACCCTGCGATTTAAAGAGGAAAAATCCGTAATTTTGAGATTTCAACTAATTTATAACCGTCAAATTGGAAAGTAATAAAAATTAATATTCTTTCTAAAAAATCGAATTTTCGTAACTGAGGTAGTGACATAACTGTTCTGGCACCCAAATGCGTGTGCTTCAGTGCCTGGGCAATTAAAAAGTAGAGTAATGATCCAATGCAATCTCACCTTCCATCATGATCAAATCAAAGATGTCCAATTCCTTCATTCGTTCAAAAATCATTGATGACATTGAAACTTTCGTAGTTTGTTGAATTCTATGCATATAAATCTATTATTTGAGCCCGCTTAGCTCAGAGGTTAAATGCGATGATCATTGGTTCAATTCTAATAGATGGCTTTCTATATTTGTTTGCATTTTTATTTTTTTACATAATTGATAATATATATTTTTTTGAAATCAAAGAAAATTGAAAAATGCTTTTTCGCCTCGCGGATCTTCCTATTATAAGGAAGCCTATAGAAGTGAGAATGAGAAGGGGGAAGGGAAATCCTATAGGTTGGATTGCTTGTGTGTCCATGGGACAAATCCCATTTGAAATGGATGGTGTGAATTTGTTAAATGCTCTGAGGCAATTGCTAACATTCTAAGGATGTAATTTTTGAATAATTAGTTGATTGAAATAAAATAAAAAATAAAAATAAAAGTAATTTATGTTTGATAATATAAATAGTTTTAAGTATAATGTGTATTTAATGTGTTTGAAAAAAAAAAGAGAGAAGTTTTAAAATTAGAATAATAATAATGAAGTTAATTTGTTTTGATAAATTTAATTTAATTTAATTTAAATTTATTTGATCATCTATTAATAATTTTAAAATCCACATATTATATGTATATGCATACATAATTTAAAAGGTAGAGCTAATAGATTATATTTTTATAAGTTGGAAAGTGTATATATTTTTAATAAATGTAATTCAAGAGTTAAATATTTATAAAGGAAAAAAGAGTTAAAATTATTTTATTTATTAATAATGGGAATCAACGTTGTATTATTTTTATATGAAATTTAATTAAGAGTAATTTAAGATAAATAATAAAAAAAAAAACACAATCAATTTATTTTTGAATTAAAAATGCATCAAATAAAATAAAATTCATTTCTTGTATTACACAAGATAATTTTTTAAGATTATACACTTGTAAATAATATAAGTCATTCATATCGAATATTTTATTTTTTTCAAAAACTTTAATTTTTATATATTTGTATAAATAATTAATTATGCCAATTAACAAAATTTTCAAGAAATAATTATTGCCATGCCACTATAGTATGGTAAAACTAATTTGTCTTGGTTCAAACTTTTTATTTTAGATAAGTTTTGGCTTACTTTAAAAAAAAAAAAGTAGTTGCTTTTTATTAAATATATTTAGTACCATTCCCATATCATAGATTTATATACTTAGTCTATATTTAATACACAGATTTTATATTTTATCTGTAAATGATAAGAGGAGATCATTTCATTAATAAGCAAATATTTATTTTTAAAATAAATATATAAAATTTAATATTTTAATAAAATTACATATTAATGAGGAGATATCATCTGATTTATTTCTTTAATGAGATTATATAATTCATTCATAGTATATAAAATTTATACATTATAATCAAATAAAATATAAACCCTTAAATAATTATAGAAAAAAATCTCAATCGTTCAAAAACTTTTCATGCATATTGTGAATAAATTAGTAATTAATTTAATAATATTGCTCCTATTAACCTTAATTTTTAAAAAATTAGTCATCTAGATTGACCAAGTGGACGGTGGAGATGTGGTAAAGCAGCGTAATCGTGGAAACCGCGATGCAGAGGACGCAAATTAAGGCAAAGACAGACGGGTGGTCCCAGGGGGTTTATTTCAGTCTCTTTTTAGTTTTTTCGTGTGAGAGTTAAAAAACGAGAAAGGAGATTTGTATTTGAGTTTTAGGGTTTCTATCTTTCATTTGCTCTCCAAATTTCAGGTATTTTTTTTCTGTGAAACCTGTTTGGTTGCAGTGTTTTTGTCTCGTGTTTTTCTTCGTTGGACTTTTTTTTACTGGTTTTTTGATGTATTTTTGAAAGGTCCTTTGTTTTTGATGTATTTTTTTATGGTTTTTTACTTGCTTTTGGACTTTGCAATGCTGCTTCAATGGGTGGCTTTTTTCAAGGATTTTCTTCTTTTTTGAGTATGATCTGATCTTCGTTGCCATTTTTTTGTTTCTAGTTTTTCAATAAACACTTCAAGTTTGCAACTTTTTTGCTGTTTTTTTTTTTTTTTTTCTATTTTTAAAGACTGTAGTTTTTCGTCAGTGTAGAGCATATTTCTATTTTGAAAGATGCATACCTTTCGTAACCTTTGTTATTTTATTTTATTATTCAGTTCTTTTATAGTAAAAAAGGTTTCTTTTTTGTCATCTTGTAATCAAGCCATTTAGAAAGTTGTTACATTTTTGCTTCAGTTGGGATTTTTAACTCCGTTTACAAGTTTTTTGTCGCTTCATGTACTCTTTCTCTGCAGTTATAGTCTTTTACTGTCTCTTGATGTGCTAAAGGTATTTACGTTTCGGTATTTTTTCCTTCTATCCCTTAATGATGCAATATATTTGGTTAAAGTTTTGGCTTTTATGCTAAAAACAGCACCTTTTTGCCTCTTCATGTTAACCATTTTAGTGCACAGCAGCATTACTGCCTCTGGGTTCAAGCTCATATTCTTAAAGGCTCCCTTTTTTTTTTTTTGGTACTCTAAGTGTTTCTTTTACTTTTTTTTTTTTTTTTTTTCCTTTGTGCTTGTTTCTCTATTTTTTTTTTCTTGTGTAAGTTCCAGCATTCATCAACATACGCTTTATTTATTTATTTTTTTGCTACAGATCCTCTGATTTTTAGGTAATATTTGCATCCTTTGTAAACACGTCTTTCATTTGCATCCATGTGGTTTCTTAAGCATTTTGTTAGGAAAAGAAAAAATCTCATTTTTAAATATTATATAGTTTTGGTGCCTTGACTTTGTTTCTTTTTTGGCGTATGAGCATATTGACTTTGTTTCCCTTTGTGGCGTATGAGTATATTGCCAGAAAAAAAAATTGTATAGATGGATGAGTTTCAAGATTGTGATATGTCAAGGTTAATTGCTTTTAGTCTTTTCGTTTTTGTTGAAAATAAATAATTTATCAAGTTAAAAGTATGAATTACTTTTTTCTGCACGAAATGGTTATAGCTAATCTTTTTCTGCGTGAAATGATACTGTTACGTACTTACTTTTTAGGGAATTTGTGTTGTAGCTAATAGTATTTTTATTTTCTTTCACGTAAGAAAAATTTTCTTGGTTGGGATATGGACTCGTCTGAGAAAGAGGGAAGTGGGGCAACGGGCTCTCTTCCCCCTCCCCCGCCTCTGCCCCCCAATGTGGTACCAATCAAAGCAGAATCTGAGCCTGCAAAGGAGGTTTCACGTGTCCCAATGGCCGGGAAAGGTCTTGGATCCCATATAATAGTTTGTCGTTTTTTGCTTGATTCTGTATTTCTATTTCTTAAAGGTGTTTGTTTCTAATCTTACTTTGGATTGCACTTGCTCCTATTTGGTATGCGCATTTGGCAGCTTCGCAGTTGGGGACTTTCCTGAAGTTTGATGAGGCTCCTGAGACATCCTCAAGCCGTAGTGGGGCGACTGCTCCTGAGACATCCTCAAGCCGTGGTGGGGTGACTGCTCCTGGAGCCACACCTGTTCGGCAGCTGCCGTGGTTGAACAGGACTGTCGCCGATTCTATGTTCTTCTGCTGAGACCTTCGGACCATGCTTTCTATAGGCTTTTGGTTTTACCACCAACTGATCTGAAACTCTTTTTAAGTATATTTAAACTTTAGAGGTAGGGCTATCCCAGACTTGTTCTGATGATGATGTGCTGTTCTCTGAATCATCATCCATTTTGGTTATAAACTTTTTGGATGCTTGGCCCCCACCGTATCTAAAGATATGAATGCTTGACTGGGTAATTCACAGTGGCTTTTTCCTGTTTGGTTTAGAGAAGTGGTTATACTACTGCCCTTTACTCTGTTCTCTTATTTACCGTTAGGCTTGGGTATCAGTTAACCAGTTAGATGTGGCTTCTGAGTAACTACTTTTGTTGGTTTCTGATGCTTAGAAAACTATACCATTTCGTTATTACTTCCCTATTAGATAATGTAATGCTTTTCCAAGTCGCTGGTAAATCAAAATTGGAATTGGCCCAATTAACCGAATTAGAAGCCTTTGCGCAATTTGCTTCTGATCTCGATAAAGCTACTCAGAATCGATTGGCAAGAGGTCAACGATTACGTGAGTTGCGAGAATGAGTTATATTTCTAGCTTATTTAACTTTTCAGGAAAGAGTTTGTTCGTTTTGGGTATATATACTACTGCCCTTTACTCTGTTCTCTTGTTTACTGTTAGGCTTGGTTATCAGTTACTTAACCAGTTAGATGTGGCTTCTGAGTAACTACTTTTGTTGGTTTCTGATGCTTAGAAAACTATACCATTTCGTTATTACTTCTCTATTATATAATGTAATGCTTTTCTGTGGCAAGAATGAGTTATATTTCTAGCTTATTTAACTTTTCCGGAAATAGTTTGTTGGTTTTGGTAGGAAAAAAATAGCATACAAAAATTTATCGACAATACTCCCTCTTAAAAACGAATCTCTACTGTTTCACGTAGCAAAGAAAAAAGAAACACCAATATTTCAAAGGAGTCTCCATTTCAAAACGATGGCAACCATAACAAGCAGGATCAACTTTCCAGAATTGTCTGTTGCTCATTTAGGAACATAGATTATTTAAATTTATGTTGTTAAACTTGTTTAAATTTTAGAACTAGGCTGCCTTTCATGGTTTGTCAAAAAAAATGGTGATTTTGGATATTTTTAGTATTTTCAATGCTTAGAGAGAGTATACTTTTAAATTTGTTCAGTTTTGACTTATTTAAGTGTGTAGATAGTTTAAAATTTTCATGTCATATTTATCTCACGGGAAGAATTATGTTGTCTTACTTGATTTGTTATTAACTTGGATGAATTTATCGCTTTTTGGAACTTTTAATGACTATCAAGGGTAAATTCTCAAGCATTTGTAGTTGTTTCTTATTTATGCACATTGATAGCTTAGGTTTATGATATTAATTTTGCTTAAATATTATAACAATTCTCACTCGTTCGCTTGTCGAAAATTTTTGTGATTTGAGTCCTTTTAAGCATTCTTTATGCCTTAAAAATTTTAAACCAAGTTCTTTGCTCTCTCTCTCTTTTAAGTATGTAGACAACTTAAACTTGATATATTAAACTTACTCAAATGTTAAATAAGGTTATGAGTTTTTATTTTATCACTATCATTCTTAAAATTTTTAGTTATTAGAGTCGATTATTGGTTGAATTACAAGAAGAATTTTTATTGGTTGAGTTTGGTAAAGTGAGATTTTGTATATATTACATATTTTTAAAGCATTAATATTTCTACTCCCTATTGACACCCAATTTTATCCGAGATGAATGAATTTCGATTGATTTTTCAGCCTAGTTGCACATTTTAATTTAAACTTATTTTAACATTTTAATCAAAATTTCATATTGGGCTTTGGTGGGCTTTATCTTAGGATTATTTTTCCTTAGGGATTTGTTTTATTTGGGCTTGAAACCAATTTTGAATTATGGTTAAAGGATTTTCTGCCTCTTTTTTCATAGTAAAAAGGCATGAGCAAATAAACACAAAAAGAAAGTTTTAGCAAACATATTTATGAAACATTTCTCGCCCTTTTTGTTTAACTTTTTTATACTAAATGTTAAAACTGCTATACCAATTGCTATAAACATACAAAAAAAATATTTATAAACTTTCCTATTTCTTATTATTGTAAAAGAAAGAAAGATCAATTCGATGCATAGGATAAAATGCTTGATACCAATAACATCACGAGTATTTTGAACTAATTTTTTGTGTAACGTTATTGTGTGGTAGCAGCATGAGTTTTATGCAAGTGTTTTATTGTGATAGAAGCATGAGTTTTACCCATGTGTCATCGAAATCACATCACGGTTATATCCATAACTATGTGGTCTTCATATTATTTTCCTTTTCATTTTAATTTTCCTTTTATCGAAATTACCCTTTTTTACCCAACCCTGTTTCCTCGTCATTTAACACACCTTGCGATTTAAAGAGGACAAATCCGTAATTTTGAGATTTCAAATAATTTACAACCGTCAAATTGGAAAGTAATAAGAATTAATATTCTTTCTAAAAAATCGAATTTCCGTAATTGAGGTAGTGACATAACTGTTCTGGCACCCAAATGCCCTGGGTAATTAAAAAGTAGAGTAATGATCCGATGCAATCTCACCTTCCATCATGATCAAATCAAAGCTGTCCAATTCCTTCATTCGTTCAAAAATCATTGATGACATTGAAACTTCCGTAGTTTGTTGAATTCTATGCATATAAATCTATTATTTGAGCCCGCTTAGCTCAGAGGTTAAATGCGATGATCATTGGTTCGATTCTAATAGATGGCTTTCTATATTTGTTTGCTTTTTTATTTTTTACATAATTGATAATATATATTTTTTTGAAATCAAAGAAAATTGAAAAATGCTTTTTCGCCTCGCGGATCTTCCTATTATAAGGAAGCCTATAGAAGTAAGAACGGGAAGGGGGAAGGGAAATCCTATAGGTTGGATTGCTTGTGTGTCCATGGGACAAATCCCATTTGAAATGGATGGTGTGAATTTGTTAAATGCTCTGAGGCAATTGCTAACACTCTAAGGATGTAATTTTTGAATAATTAGTTGATTGAAATAAAATAAAATAAAAATAAAAATAAAAGTAATTTATGTTTGATAATATAAATAGTTTTAAGTATAATGTGTATTTAATGTGTTTGAAAAAAAAAAGAGAGAGAAGTTTTGAAATTAGAATAATAATAATGAAGTTAATTTGTTTTGATAAATTTAATTTAATTTAATTTAAATTTATTTGATCATCTATTAATAATTTTAAAATCCACATATTAAATGTATATGCATACATAATTTAAAAGGTAGAGCTAATAGATTATATTTTAATAAGTTGGAAAGTGTATATATTTTTAATAAATGTAATTCAAGAGTTAAATATTTATAAAGGAAAAAAGAGTTAAAATTATTTTATTTATTAATAATGGGAATCAACGTTGTATTATTTTTATACGAAATTTAATTAAGAGTAATTTAAGATAAATAATAAAAAAAAAACATAATCAATTTATTTTTGAATTAAAAATGCATCAAATAAAATAAAATTCATTTCTTGTATTACACAAGATAATTTTTTAAGATTATACACTTGTAAATAATATAAGCCATTCATATTGAATATTTTATTTTTTTCAAAAACTTTAATTTTTATATATTTGTATAAATAATTAATTATGCCAATTAACAAAGTTTTCAAAGAAATAATTATTGCCATGCCACTATAGTATGGTAAAACTAATTTGTCTTGGTTCAAACTTTTTATTTTAGATAAATTTTGGCTTACTTAATAAAAAAAAAAAGTAGTTGCTTTTTTTAAAATATATTTAGTGCATTCCATATCATAGAATTATATACTTAGCTATATTTAATACACAGATTTTATATTTTATCTGTAAACGATAAAGAGGAGATCAATTTCATTAATAAGCAAATATCTATTTTTAAAATAAATATATAAATTTAATATTTTAATAAAATTACATATTAATGAGAGATATCATCTGATTTATTTCTTTAATGAGATTATATAATTCATTCATAGTATATAAAATTTATACATTATAATCGATAAATATAAACCCTTAAATAATTATAGAAAAAATCTCATCTTCAAAAACTTTTCATGCATATGTGAATAAATTAGTAATTAATTTAATAACATTGCTCCTATTAACCTTAATTTTTAAAAAATTAGTCATCTAAATTGACCAAAGTGGACGGTGGAGATGCGGTAAAGCAGCGTAATCGTGGAAACCGCGATGCAGAGGACACAAATTAAGGCAAAGACAGACGGGTGGTCCTAGGGGGTTTATTTCAGTCTCTTTTTAGTTTTTTCGTGTGAGAGTTAAAAAACGAGAAAGGAGATTTGTATTCGACAGTCTCTTTGAGTTTTAGGGTTTCTATCTTTCATTTGCTCTCCAAATTTCAGGTATTTTTTTTCTGTGAAACCTGTTTGGTTGCAGTGTTTTTGTCTCGTGTTTTTCTTCGTTGGACTTTTTTTTACTGGTTTTTTGATGTATTTTGAAAGGTCCTTTGTTTTTGATGTATTTTTGATGGTTTTTTACTTGCTTTTGGACTTTGCAATGCTGCTTCAATGGGTGGCTTTTTTCAAGGATTTTCTTCTTTTTTGAGTATGATCTGATCTTCGTTGCCATTTTTTTGTTTCTAGTTTTTCAATAAACACTTCAAGTTTGCAACTTTTTTGCTGTTTTTTTTTTTTTTTTTCTATTTTTAAAGACTGTAGTTTTTCGTCAGTGTAGAGCATATTCTATTTGAAAGATGTATACCTTTCGTAACCTTTGTTATTTATTTTATTATTCAGTTCTTTTATAGTAAAAAAGGTTTCTTTTTTGTCATCTTGTAATCAAGCCATTTAGAAAGTTGTTACATTTTTGCTTCAGTTGGGATTTTTAACTCCGTTTACAAGTTTTTGTCGCTTCATGTACTCTTTCTCTGCAGTTATAGTCTTTTACTGTCTCTTGATGTGCTAAAGGTATTTACGTTTCGGTATTTTTTCCTTCTATCCCTTAATGATGCAATATATTTGGTTAAAGTTTTGACTTTTATGCTAAAAACAGCACCTTTTTGCCTCTTCATGTTAACCATTTTAGTGCACAGCAGCATTAGTGCCTCTGGGTTCAAGCTCATATTCTTAAAGGTTCCCTTTTTTTTTTTTTTTGGTACTCTAAGGGTTTTTTTCTTTTTTTTTTTTTTTTCCTTTGTGCTTATTTCTCTATTTTTTTTTTTGTGTAAGTTCCAGCATTCATCAACATACGCTTTATTTATTTTTTTTTTGCTACAGATCCTCTGATTTTTAGGTAATATTTGCATCCTTTGTAAACACGTCTTTCATTTGCATCCATGTGGTTTCTTAAGCATTTTGTTAGGAAAAAAAAAATCTCATTTTTAAATATTATATAGTTTTGGTGCCTTGACTTTGTTTCTTTTTTGGCGTATGAGCATATTGACTTTGTTTCCCTTTGTGGCGTATGAGTATATTGCCAGAAAAAAAAATTGTATAGATGGATGAGTTTCAAGATTGTGATATGTCAAGGTTAATTGCTTTTAGTCTTTTCGTTTTTGTTGAAAATAAATAATTTATCAAGTTAAAAGTATGAATTACATTTTTCTGCACGAAATGGTTATAGCTAATCTTTTTCTGCGTGAAATGATACTATTACGTACTTACTTTTTAGGGAATTTGTGTTGTAGCTAATAGTATTTTTATTTTCTTTCACGTAAGAAAAATTTTCTTGGTTGGGATATGGACTCGTCTGAGAAAGAGGGAAGTGGGGCAACGGGCTCTCTTCCCCCTCCCC